CCTGCCCCAGACGACACGGGTCAGCAGGGAACTCAGTGCTGGACACGTTCGTATCAGACCTGTACTGATTCCAGAGCATACAAGACAGGAAGTGAAATTTACAAGCAGTGTGGCGGAGGGGTTTGGGGAGGCCGTGGGTCCTAGAACTTCTGACTGAGGTGCTGTGAGTTGGGGGGCAGCAGTGTGGCCTAGTAGTGGGACTACAGGCCTGCACCTCAGGATGCCTGGGTTCTGTTCCCAGCTCTGCTGCTGGGTGACCTTGGACAAGTCATGGCCCCTCTCCATGCCTCAGTTTCCCCATCTGGGGCTAATGATCCCAACCACCTTTGTAAAGTACATGGAGATCTGCTGATAGGAAGAGACAGGGGCCCAGATCCACAAAGCTATTTACCCTCCTGGTGATTTCAATGGGAGTTTTGTGCCTAAACACTTCTGAGGATCTGGGCCTAGATGTTCGTATTTAGCACCAATTTTGTTAATGGCTCAACCCAGCTTCCCTGCATCCTGCCTCATTATCCTAACCCAACCCTGGTTCACTCGCATACACAAAGTCCAATGTATAGGCCAGTGATGGAAAAGGCAGCGCAAATTGTTCAAACAAGACTGTTTTTATTCAAAAATGGCTTTTTTCCCCCTCAAACAAGCATCCGTTTTCAATAGTTTCCAAATATTTGGAAATACACAATTCTTCATTTTGTCCCAATATCTCTGAGCGATGCTTTCCAGGTTCCCAGGATTTTGGTTTTCCCAACCTCTAGTCACTATCATGTAACATATGATAAATAGTTAAATACTTGTGGGGTGGGGAGAGGAAAAAAGAAAAGGAAACACTGAAAACAAATAAAAATCAGGTCCAGCTCAAAATGCACAAAACAAAACATTCGAAATTTCAAATTTTTTTCATACAATCGTTTCAATGTTCTCTTCTCATGGGCTGTTTAATTCGACTAGCCACGCTTCGTGGTGATAGGTTGGCCACCTAAGCCACATGGCCCCATTCCTGCTCTCTGGTTGGATGAAAGAAAGTTTTTAAGCCAGCCAATGACACACTGCA